TTAGAGTTATTCCAAGAACTACTTGAAAAATTAGTCAAGATTTACACAATTCGATGGTTGTCTCTATCTTCAGCTGTTGCCAGATATTTGAAACAATATGAAGCTTTGTTTCTTTTTTTTTTTAAAAGAAAAAGATACTTTGAAAGGACAAAAAGAAAAAAAGGAAGCTGAAGACATTTTCTATCTCTACGCAAATTCATGGAATAAGCTTTTCCTGCAGTTTTTTTTTAATTTCATTTTGCCTCAAGTGTGTGAAAGAAATTTAGAGTTTCAATCAGAGAAGCCTAAAATTCATAATTTACACAAGAAAATGTCAGCTGTTTTCAAGACTGTTGCTTCTTATTATCTCAAAATCGATTACATCGAAAGAACCGATCCCGAGTTTGTTAAATATGCTGTAATTACAAAAGAAAACGAAATGAATTGGGAGCCTTTACACAAAGTCTATCTTGGACCTGACGTTAAAGTAGCACTCAGCAAAATGCCCCCTTCTGTCACAACTCGTGAGATAATCGATTTTGAATAAAGATGTCGCCAATTTTACATTACGTTGGCAAGTGAAATTTATAAAAGGTTCCCTTTCAATGACCCATCCGTGAAGTTGCTTAAGGAATTGGAGTTCTTGGACCCTGTAAACTTGAAATCTTTGAGAGATGTTGCTGTCGTGGCAGATTTTTTTTGGGTTCGAGTCAACATCAATGCAGGCAGAATTCTGGAAGCTGAAAATGATGTTTAAATCGACCGAAGCTGACACGGACATCGACACCTTTTGGAAAAAAGTTGAAAAAGTTGTCCACGCAGATGGGTCATTAGAGTTCCCCTTGATTTTGCAATTGGCGAAAATTGTTCAAATACTTCCACATTCATCTGCTGCTTGTGGGAGAATTTTCAGCAGTATAAATCGGAATAAAACTAAGTTTCGAAGTTCTTTGGAAGAAATGACTGGCATTTTACATGTAAAGGCTTTTATCGACAACCGGGCTGTGACGAGCATTGATGCGAAACCATTGTTGAAAAAAATGGGCAACTCCATGTACTTGTAATTAGAGATAATAAAGTGAATTGACTAAAAATTTGCGTACGTATTTTTACATATTTTCAGAACGCTTTCCCCACTTTTTTCTCCCTCCATACGTATTTCTTGAACCATGAACCTGGCAGCACTGTCCGTAGGAGACAAACGATAGAGCCGTGCACACTGTGAACCACGAAAAAAAACACAAGAACCCAAAGAAACAAGAGGAAAAAAAGTAAAAAAAAAGGAAATAAATGAATTTAAAAAAAAGGCGTATGAGAAAATCAAGATATACATATTATACAAAAAAAAAGAAACAAGGGGAAAAAATAGATCAAATTGGCCCAGGAGTTCGACGATCTGAAATAAAAAAAAAAGGAATATGCGTTGGGTGAAAAAATATGTTGGCCCACTCACGGATAAACCAACCGGCCAAGGACCGAATTCCGAAGAAGGGACACCGAAGTCGTTAAGGAGGGCATTGACCCGTGCTCAAGGACAAGAAAGGTCATGGCTGAGAGCTGGATCCAGAATAAATTGAGCCAATGGAACATAACGTAAACAAAACAACAACTTTACGACTTTGCATATTCACTGCACTCTAGAGCTGGGTCGACCACTCAAATTATTTTCGATATATCGAGTATTTGGGTTTCCGAACCAATATCGATATTCAGTGTCGATGGTAAACGATAGTTGCAATTTAAAAAAAGTTTGCACATCTTTACTTTTGGCGAAGAACTTCACGTGGATGGCGATAATGGTGTTGGCGGAGAAAATGAAAAAATAGGTATCTAAACTATTGCATTAGATATGCATGCCTTGCACTCTAGCTCAATATTTAATTTCTAATATACAACTTCTTACAGGCAAAAATGTAAAGAGCAATTTGGAGGAGGGCGAAAACTCAGTGAAAAGATTGGGTAAGTCGAAAGTGTGGAATCATTTCAAAATGTCCCAAGATGGCATGACAGCTACTTGCATGCACTGCAATAAAAAATACAGGACGTTCGGAAACACCAACCATGTTGATGCCATTGTTGAACTTCAGCAGTATATGCGAGCGGCACATAAACCTCAGCAAACAGATCCTTTGGAGTTTTGGAAGGTAATTTCTTTATAAATCTAAATTTTAATTTGATCTCATTAACTTTTTTTTTTTATTTTAGTGCGCTCCAGATGATTCTCTTCTAAAAACTACAGCTGAACGCCTTTTTTGTGTTCAAGCATCAACGACTAAGTCTGAGAGGATTTTTAGTAAAACGGGACAAATTATTTCTGCCAGAAGAGCATCACTGAAAGCCAAAAACGTGGATATATTATCCTTTCTCAATAAAAATATGTGGATCTCAAACTTTTCAATCAATGAATAGCATCAAACTCATGTTATTTGTCAGTATATTTAGAATATATTAACGTATTTTGTGAATTATTTCAGTTTTTCTTTTATTATAAGCGTGTTAATATGTGTTATCTTTTGTTATTCGAATAAATAATGGCCTTTAAGAAGTTTTTTTTTATTATTTACTCTAAATGCAATTTAAACTTGATTTATGATTTTTTTAGAACAATACTATTGATATTATCGAATATTTGTTTCAAAAACCTCGAAAACATCGAATATGCTAAAAACCGATGTTTTCCCAGCTCTACTGCACTCCTCGGGATGGCGGCGCCTAGATAATGGGATATCGGTTTACACTAGAAGTGCAATCGATAGGTGCACAATGGCAAATATTGGTATGCGTTGGGTCACACTGCACTAAGTCACCACGATCATGTGGCAACCCTGCACTTGAGGTGTGCAGGTGGGAACAGATCAACCAGCTGACAGTGTGACCAGAGAGCATCGGAAAGGCGCGTAAATTTAATTTTACGAAGGATAGCCTGAAAGGCGCGTAAATTAAAATCTGCAAAGCATAGTCTGGAAGGCGCGAAATTCAAAAGTCTACGAGGGAGCATCAGGAAGGCGCGTAAATTCAAATTTGAAGTTTACATCTGGAAGGCGCGGAATTCAAACGTCGACGAGGGATACGGCCACAAGGAGGGAGGAAGGAAAACGTCTACGAGGGAAACGTCGCAGGAAGGATTTCAAGCGTCTACGGGGGAAACGTCTCGGGAGAGATTTCATGGACCTATGAGGGATACATCGGAACATGCATTTGAATGGCTACGAAGGAAATCTTCAGGGCTCTCGTGACTTGTTCCAAATTCCAAAAACGTTCAACTAGAGAGTGGAGAGAACTGATATTATCGTTAACAGTGACGCTACACACCTGAGCACTATTCAATGCTGAGCATACTTAACCGAAACAATTCACTCTAATAAAGTTATGTGAATTGATGGGTGGCGGGAACTAAACTGTTTTTGTCCTACGCTTAAAAGTTCGAAAAAGATTTCTGCGCCGAGTAGCAGGTCCACCTATGCGGGCTTATAAAATCGAGGGTCTGCCACCTCAATGTTTGCTGGCATACTCCATAGCGCAAAGTTTACCTCATGGTCTGATTGATATGTCGAAATCGATTTTAAAACCCAAAAATCGGTTCCAAAACTATGAAAATTTACTTTAGAATGTGTTAAGGTGTGAACCTTGTGTCATACTACCGAGTCACTATTTCCTACAGTGGTAATGTTTAAGTACGACTCTTTTCTCTGCAAACGCATACGTTGTGCATAATCCTCAGTCAAGAGTTTATTCGAGAACTCGAATCTAAAAAAGATCTTGCTAACTGAAGCTGTCTGAGCCTATCTCGTACCTTTACTATTGCAGTAGCAAGAATGACTTGATCATTACCCGCGACATGACTTAAATAGGATTGACTTTGCAGACCGGCAGCTACTGCGTTGGTCTGTGAGTGCACTTGCGCCACTGATCCAGGAATAGTTGACTGATGCTCTACATCGTAGCTGTGAACAATTAATGAAAATGGTGTTTGGCGAAATTAAAACTCTGAATTACAGGGAGAGCAACAAAGGCTTAACAATTGCCTAAACTATAGACCGACGCTGAGCAATATCGACAATTTGTCTCAGTACGGCGTTCTGGCTTTGTGAATGAAAAGGACGATCTTAAATATCCCTTAAGTCCCTGGCTGGACTTTCCCTTGTTCTTTGTGGATTGCTGAACCACGCAATCGGACCATATCGGTAGAGTATTGTAATCTTGCTGTTCTTCAAAACAAGATTTTGTAACGTTAAATACTTTCCACATTGCTATATGAATCAACATGGCCTTTTTTACCTTCTCGCTCCCCAATGATTTAGTGATGCATAAAAAACTGTTGTTTCATCAATAAGAGACCTTAAACAGGAAGCCGATGGTTTTAGTAAAGGGGGGATGAAAAAATTGTGAAATTGTATTGAAAAAGATCAGCCATTTGTTGTCATAAACACTTTTTAATCTATCCAATCTATTTGAGGATCGTTATCTTGCATTACAGACTTATACCGATCTGGCTTTTGTGATAATACACATATCCTCAACTGACGCTTTTAAATCGTTAACTGGATGTTGTGAGTCGATGACTGATCTTTAATAACTTTTCACAATAAGTTTCGAGAAGTTCCTTTCTGTATTAAATTTGAACTTTATTGAAAGAAATAGTAGTGCTCTCGAATGCCAATTTCATCCGCCTAATATCACTCATGTCCCTGTCATGTTTTTAATTAATTCCTTGTCTTTGTCACTCATTATACCCTTGCAGAGCAAAAGGGTATTATAATTTCAGTCAGAAGTTTGCAACGCAGTGAAGGAGACACCTCAGACCCCATAAAGTATATATATTCTTGATCAGCATCACGAGTAGAGTCGGAATACGTCTGTACGTCTGTACTAGAGCTGGGAAAACATCGGTTTTTAGCATATTCGATGTTTTCGAGGTTTTTGAAACAAATATTCGATAATATCAATAGTATTGTTCTAAAAAAATCATAAATCAAGTTTAAATTGCATTTAGAGTAAATAATAAAAAAAACTTCTTAAAGGTCATTATTTATTCGAATAACAAAAGATAACACATATTAACACGCTTATAATAAAAGAAAAACTGAAATAATTCACAAAATACGTTAATATATTCTAAATATACTGACAAATAACATGAGTTTGATGCTATTCATTGATTGAAAAGTTTGAGATCCACATATTTTTATTGAGAAAGGATAATATATCCACGTTTTTGGCTTTCAGTGATGCTCTTCTGGCAGAAATAATTTGTCCCGTTTTACTAAAAATCCTCTCAGACTTAGTCGTTGATGCTTGAACACAAAAAAGGCGTTCAGCTGTAGTTTTTAGAAGAGAATCATCTGGAGCGCACTAAAATAAAAAAAAAAGTTAATGAGATCAAATTAAAATTTAGATTTATAAAGAAATTACCTTCCAAAACTCCAAAGGATCTGTTTGCTGAGGTTTATGTGCCGCTCGCATGTACTGCTGAAGTTCAACAATGGCATCAACATGGTTGGTGTTTCCGAACGTCCTGTATTTTTTATTGCAGTGCATGCAAGTAGCTGTCATGCCATCTTGGGACATTTTGAAATGATTCCACACTTTCGACTTACCCAATCTTTTCACTGAGCTTTCGCCCTCCTCCAAATTGCTCTTTACATTTTTGCCTGTAAGAAGTTGTATATTAGAAATTAAATATTGAGCTAGAGTGCAAGGCATGCATATCTAATGCAATAGTTTAGATACCTATTTTTTCATTTTCTCCGCCAACACCATTATCGCCATCCACGTGAAGTTGTTCGCCAAAAGTAAAGATGTGCAAACTTTTTTTAAATTGCAACTATCGTTTACCATCGACACTGAATATCGATATTGGTTCGGAAACCCAAATACTCGATATATCGAAAATAATTTGAGTGGTCGACCCAGCTCTAGTCTGTACGTCTGTCCATCTGTCCGTTTCCGCGCAAACTAGTCTCTCAGTTTTAAAGCTATCTTGATGAAACTTTCCCAAAAGGTGTGTAGTTATTGCACGCAGTATATAAGTCGGAACGGGCCGGATCGGCCGACTATATCGGATAGCTCCCATACGAGGGAATGAAATGAAAAATTCTCACGCCGTTGTTTTTGATCTATTCTTCAAGATAGCGTTTTCTAACTGTTATTGAGTTTCGGATTAAATTTGATCAAAATCGGATAACTCTATCATATAGCTGCCATAGGAGAGATCGAAAATAATATATAGAATTAATGGAAATAAATTGATAACATCGTTGTTTTTTATCCCACGAGCATGATTTTTGAATATCAAGTTTTTTAACAACGTTTATATTGGAAAAAAAAGTTTCATAAAAATCGGTCATCTATATCTTATAGCTGCCATAGGAAAGATCGAAAAATCTATATAGAAATAATGGAAATAAAATTATAACATTGTTGTTTTTCATCAGACAAGTATGATTTTTGGAATATAGAGTTTTCTTACGACTCTTGAATTACGAATTAAATTCGATCAAAATTGGACAACTATATCGTATAGCTCCCATATGATCTATAGTCAAAAATATGGAAAATGAATAGAAAAATCGTCTTAGCTTCGATGTTGTCTAGCCTTTATGCATCTTGTTCGACATATTTGATGACTGCAAAGGTATATAAGCTTCGGCTTGCCGAAGCTAGCTTCCTTTCTTGTTTTGAAATTATTATAATTCATTTTTCCTTCCTTAACAATTAATTCCATGTCTTTGTCACTCATTTTTAAATTATTATAATTGATTTTTTTTTTTAAATTAATTTATAATAAACTAGCGGACCCGGCGAACTTTGTCTCGCCCCAATTTCACGATTTCATTCAAATTTTTTGTGAAATTTTTTGACTCGAAACGATTGGAGAGCAATGTGATAAACAATATTTTTTGTTTTGTTATCCGGTACAAAAATAAATAATGATGACGACTTTCCGACACGCGAACAGGCTACGTATAACTGTCCATGTGAAAAACATTGATATTCCAGATTTATCCCGCAGACTTCCAACGACTGGCCTTGCGATTTGTTGATTGTCATCGCAAATGCCTATCGAACTGGGAACTAAATCCTCTTAAATTTGAATGGAAGATCTGATGGAATAATCGTAATTCTTGGGATAAGAACTTCCTCTTCTTTAAATTTACCCTTGATAATCGTCGCTTGAATCAATTTGTTCATTAGTTTCTTAACGGACAACCGCGTACCGTTGCATAATCTCGGATGATTTAGGTTCCGCAGCATTATAATAACTGATCCCACCTTCAGTTGCAAATTATGCGGCGGAGTTCCTGGCACATCCAGTGAGTTCAAAAATTCTGCCGGATAGTTGGTCGCTTCATACTCTATTATTTTGTCGGGCTTGAGGTGGGGTTTGTGCAGCGCGAAGCTGTGCCATTCGGGCACGTGTCGATGCATTTATTTCTGCACGTTCCTCTTGCGTCCGACTATTACGGAAATTCTGACTATTTATTACATTGCGCGAACGCCGTCGAAGTCTTAATCGTCTAACAGCAGGCATTATTTCAAATTGTTTAAGCTCGCTCGTTTATTTTGTTTAAATATTTTTTTACCGACTTCATCGGTATACAATATCAACGCAGCTATGATTTTTTTTACATACAACATTGTGTACACCTGTTGAGCCGCTAGCGACTTTTCCAGAAGGTTTTCCCAAAATGTTCTTATGCTATAACCTTCTTCTGGTTCTAAGCTATCTCCATACCAATTTTCAGCAAAATCGGTCAAGCCGTTTTCATGTGTTGCGATTGCGCACATTTTTTGTCTCCATTTTTATATATATAGATAAACACACCTCGCACAAAGGCTAAATTGCAATATTTTTTCCGATGGACAAAGGCAAGCAGAACAATTTATTTTGGTCATCTAAGGGTTAAGGAATCCAAAAGATTTTTGTATGTTCGCAGGTAAATCTCTGCAGCCAACGTGAAAATTTGTAAACGATAAAATTTTATTCGACAACGCAAAAAAGGGTTCAAGATTCCCGTGAATTGTTGTGGATCACATAAGGGTTAAAACACAGCCAAAGTGCAAGATTTTATGATTTTAATTTACATCAGGGGTGCTCAACGCCTATACACTGAGTGCACTTTTGTTTTTGAAGATGCTCTGTGCTTATGGGTAGTGCGCGCATAAGCACCGTGCATATGGGCTTCGATTTGCATGCGAAACAAAAACAATTTTGCTTGTTTCTTCATTACATCTCTATCCGTCGTCACGCTTCGCTGAACGCAATGTATTTCGTTTTTGTTTTTTCCTCGAGCACATGCACTGAAATTTATTTTTCTGTCTGCGTTGGCTTTTGATTTATTTCGTGGTGGACCGTCGTAAGTGTTATGTTAAATTTTTTGGCGGATCAAAATGAATGATGAATTAGAGAGCAGTTTTTTTAGCATAAACTTTAAATGCGAAGTACAATGCGTAAAATGCTTCGTACTTCTGGAGGTAAAAACTTTTTTTTTCTCTCAGTGCACAGCTGCGCCCCAACACAAACGCGCCGCTACATATGTATGTACACGTTTTCTTGTGGTTGTGTTAGTAAACGCACTGCCATAAGACGAATTTGAGCACCCCTGATTTACATATTTAAAACGTGTATATAGATGGATCATATAAGGGGGGAAATACAATTAGGATTTTTTTTTCGAAAAATTTTTTTTTGGCCTAATGTACTCTAAATATCGACGCATTTCCGCGAATGTATCGTATGTTGAAAAATAAAATTTTACAGAGGAAGCTTTTTCTTTTTTTTTTTTTGTATTTCGGTATTTTTGTGCTATTGCAGTATTTCCATGCAAATGAAAAAAATTTGTATGGACATACGATAATTTCGCGCGCACATTGTAACATACGATAAAATTGAAACTTAATTTTTATCGGAACTATAAAACCCTATAGTTAAAATATTTCACAGGGTAGTGAGACATTAGGTGCCTAACAATTTTGCATTAAGGCAGGTTCTCACCTTGTAGGGCCGAAAAATTGACATTTTTAAAAAAAAAATTGTTTTGAGAAAACGGTTAAAGATAAAAATCTGAAATTTGTAACTTTATTTGAAAACATATTTAATTTGCGAAAAAAATTTCAAAATTGAAAAATCCAAAAAGAGGTGGGAGGGGGCGTTCCTCAGTTGCAACATTTCGAAAAAAAGGTGTACCGCTTACGGAAGTGATTCAGCCAAAACGGGTATTCGGAAACACAAAAACCGAAAAGATTCTTAACGTGTACAGTACTGTGCATAAAATGAACTAGGATCAAAAAAAAAAAAAATAAAAATTGCAAAAGTTATTAGCTTTTGAAAAAAAATTTCGATTTTCGCGCTTTTTTTCTCACTAATTATTTTCTCAATTAGACAGTTTTCAATATTTTTGGATAACCCTAGTTCATTAGTTAAAGGAAACAATTGGGAACATTTTAAAAAAATTTGATGACGATTGATTAACCCCAACGCCTTCAATTACTTCCGTAAGGTCCGAAAACGTGGTTCCGAGATAAACGCGCTTGAAGTTTTGGCTTCCAATGGCCGGTGCTCGACATGTGCTCCATGTAAGGGCCTGTAACTTTTGTAATATTTCAAATTTGGATCTCAAATTTTTTGAGAACATTTTCGGAACATATATCTATACGATAAGCCAAGAAAAAAAATCAATTTTTTTTTGCCACAAGGTGAGAACTTGCCTTAAAATCTCTATTTCGAAAAAAAGCGACATACGATACATTCGCGGAAATGCGTCGATATGTCTGGGAATAAGTCTTTAAAAGCATAAAGCCGTCCGGTACTTATTTTCAAAGTAATACGCAATTTAGTTAGTGCGTGTCAATGGCTGAAATGGCACAACGTAAACTTTAAACGCTTTTACTGAAAAGTCGTGTTTTCAAAGTCGCCGTGCAATGTACAGGTCAGAGATTTTATTTAAATCGAACGCGGTTTTTTGCATTATGTTTGAAATGAAATTCTCCACACCATGAATATAACGGTTTTTGTTATAACATGTTTTTTTTTTACAAACAAAGTCGAAAAAAAAAACTTTTTTTTTCACATTTTTTTTTAATTTCAAGTTTTTTAATGAAATAATAATTTTTTTCAAATATGAAATAATTCATGGTGTGCGCTGTACCTTTAAGTTTAAAGCCCAGTGGCTGTTTTTTGTTTAAGTCGTGATCCTGGACCTGGAGACTGCACGGCGCAAAGTCCTTCCCTAAAAAACGACTCCACATTATTGATCATAAATGGGCTTAATTACAATATTTTTCAAAAAACTTGACTGATTTTTATTGCTCAATAATTACCTAATAACATGCAAAAAGAATTCAAGATTCATTTAATACCCTACTTGCAATCCACTTCCAAAGATAGCCCTCATTTCAGGCCTTCTAATTGTATTTCCCCCCATAAGGCTTAACAATTGCGATACACTGCGTCGAATTCCAACGGGTTCTAATTATTTAAACGAAAATTCTCCATAATGCACTAACTTGTTAATGCTCTTTATCCAAAGGTACATGCAAACCATTATGTAAAATGTCTCAACGATGCTTATACATATCTCAATTAACTGTTGTGCGAAAAGGTACTGCACTGCCGGAACAGGAATCAGAAAGAGAACGTTGTTGTGTTGTTGTCTCAAATCAAAAATTTTCACAAAGGTTTCGGAATCGATATTTTAATAAAGGCAGTTCATTATTTAATTGTATTATGGGTATTTTAAGTTTTTACAATTTTCGGAGTGCCAAAAATTAATACAAGTTGCTGGAGTCGGCAACGTATACATATATGCAACAAAAATGTTCGACAATTAATATTTGTCGAGAAACTCTTTACACACTGACAAAAAAAAATATTTTTTGACTTTGCATGCAAAAATAACGCCTTTAGCTATTCTTTTTCAATATTTTTTTAATGAAGAACTATTATTTAACGAATTTAAAATAATTATGTACAAAAATAAAAACCAAACAACGAAAGGAAAAATTTTAAGCAACAAAATCTAAATTTACACATTTTTGACTCTGTCAAGAAAGTGTTTACACACTTTACCTTCTGTCAAAAAAGTACCGGGACTGGATTAATTAAAACGCCTGTGCTAAACCGATTTCGGAAATTTTTTTTGTTATGTTAATAACATTGTTCTGCATTACTAAGTAAAGTTTGATCGCGATCTGTGAAGTAGTTTGTCTACAGTCGCTGGTTACGTCAGTCTATGTTCTGATTGCTTGCCGAATTTTATAATGAACAACTATATTGAACAAAGAATTTGTCTTAAATTTTGTGTTGCGAACAAAATTTCTTGTACTGACGCGTTAAAAATGTTGCAGAAGGCTTATGGTGATGCAGTTTTATCGAGAACACGTGCTTTTGAGTGGTACAAAGCATTCCAAGAGGGTCGTGAGATTGTCGAAGACATGCCTCGTTCGGGACGACCATCCACCTCTCTCACCGACACTAACATCGATGCAGTGAAGGAATTTATTTTTGAAAATCATCATGTCAGCTTACGAGAGATAGCACAAGTCCTGAACATCTCTCACGAGTGAATTCGTACCATTTTGACTGACCGTTTGGGTATGAAACGAGTCGCTGCACGGCTTGTTCCAATGCGCCGCCGCATCGAGCTACCATTGTCAACGAATACAAGGTCAAAAACTCGATAAATACCATCGAACAAGCTCCGTATTCGCCAGATTTAGCTCCGTGCGACTTCTTTTTGTTTCCTCGACTCAAGTTGCCGCTTCGTGGAACCCGTTTTAGCACCATTGAAGACATTAAACAAAATTCGGCACGGGAGTTGAAGGCTATCCCGGAAGACGCTTATAAAAAATGGTTCGAAGACTGGAAGAATCACTGGCATATGTGAATTGCCTCTAATGGGGACTACTTTGAAGGCGACAAAATAAATTTGGATGAATAAATAGAAAATGTGAGTGTTATTAACCCAGTCCCGGTACTTTTTTGACAGAAGGTAGTTTTCGATTCTGTTTTGTTCTATTCTAAGAAAAAACGGGACTTTACCGTTATTTATGCTTCTGCACTATGAGTTTTGTTTGCATTTGTTGCAGTTGGAGTCGATTCCAGGAGGACGCTATCAATACATTAGAACCAGTATTGCCTGATTTTGAGAGATAAAATAAGCTAGATTGAAGAAAAAATAAGCTAGAATAAGCTAAAAATTAAAAAAAAAAGCTAAAAATAAGCTAACCATGGAAAAAATTAAAAAATTTGATTTTTTACTTTTATTGGTACGATATTGATATGAAATTTTTATAACTATTATAGTTAAGAAATAATTTCATCAACTTCATCATTAGATTCCATATATTTGGCGGATGATTGAACTAAAGCGAGGTATTTTGTTGGAAGTTGGTAGTCATGGCAACATTTGCCATGACGTCGTAGTGCA